TAGTTACGCATCCACATTAAGACTCTTTTATGTATGTTGGTACTTTTTTAAAAGAAATAAGTTGGCTATATCCTATAACGGCCTTTATCAAACTTCTAGGAAAGTGCTCCGAACAAAATGTTTAAAAAGTACTGGAACTAGCTTAGTGTTCAGGATGATACCTTTTTTCTTTAGAAACCATTTCTTAACTATGTAATGGGAAGCGTCACTAGACACTTTTGCTCACACCTGCTAGTTTTTTCTTTACTTGTAAAGGTTCAATACTATCAGACCATCGACCAATTTTGATTAAAGGTAAGCACCACAGAATTTGGTTTAAAAAACATATTTTTAGTAATTTAGTATGAAACAACCACACACTGAACCAACAACACCGGCGTGAAACAACCACAGCGTTGTGTTTTGTGTTTCGCCGTGTGAGTGATGTTACCGGAGGCCCAATCCTTCCCCACCCCCAATCCCTCCTCAATCCCTAAATCTCCAAATCCCTAATTCCTAAAAGGTCGGCAACGCACTCGTAACTTGCGGGTGCGGGTGTCTATGGGCGGCGCTGATTGCTTACCATCATGTAACACGTTTGCCGATCTGACATAAAAAAAAAGAAACAAATTGTGTTTCAGCAGATCAAGGAGTACAGAGCATAGGTATGTTAATTACTCGTGGGTATCCCCAATGAGACAAAATGGCGTCTTAAATGAAATAAAAGCAAAGAAACTTCGTTTAGAAGATAAGTTTTTTCCAAAAAAAATCGTACATCTATGTCACAGAACATGACACTTCTATTTGTGTGCAAAAAACAAGCACAAACACAGATAGCAATAGACAACGTACAAACAATATCCGTATAAAACGTCAATAAAAATCTGATTCCGGAGCGCGATTCCTACAACAAAGTAAAATTACTGCGTGGCAATTGACATGCGGATATGGAAATAAGATGAAGGAACATTCATTCATCCACACGTCCGTACTCATATCCCTTGCCGTTGCTTATGTACCGTCTCTTACGAACCTTACGAACGACACGACCTTGCTCTTTGTTCACATACCCTCATATCATGAGCTCCTTCATTTTGAAAGGCAGTTCGTTATCCACGAGTTATTCTGATCCAAACATGTATAGGTTAATGCAAAAGAGGATGTACGGATTCCAAGGCTCATTTATATGTTGCCAGTATTTTGTAGTGATGGCAGACTGTTGATGAATACTGCTATCTTTATTCGTTACAGGGCTGGTTTCACATGCGTTCCTTTTTTAAATATCAGATAAAACAAAGGTTCGTTGCAGTTGAATTAGTAACAATCGTTTTAAGCATGGGTGATAAACCTCGGAAGTTTTTAACGATCAATCCAAATTATTTTCCTCAACGACTAAGCAATTTTTTCATGCCAACGTAAATGGCTGTCGGCACAAATGTAATCAATTTTAGTATAGATCAAACCATGTCATCAATCTAGACACAAAAGAAGTTCAAGGTTCATAAACTTCCAAGTAAAGAACACTGGACAAACTTGCCTTGACCTATGACATCGAGTCTTATTCAATCTGAGTGGAAGGGGCTAGCGGAAACAACAGTAATTCCTTTAAAACTTTGAAAGCAAGAACTAAGACGGTATTTTCTCCGTGGGACTACAGTAATGGTTCGCTGAAATGTTTATAGCGCCCGCTTCGTGTCCTGCGAGCCTGAAACAAATCTCAGATCGCAATAAATCGTGTTCAGTAGGTACATACTGAGATTTATTCTTTGATTAGCGTCTCTGTATTCACCAAATACGAACACAACAGAGATTGGGAAACACCAGTTATTCGTGGATATCAGCTACATACACTATATTACCAGTTAAATAGACTGTACGTACGTAGGTTTACATTAGAACAATCACACAAGAAATTGTCAACCTTTAAGCTAATATTTCCGTTTAAATATTTTTTATTTTTTCACGTTGTTTCTTAAGTAAAAATGAACCCGTCTTAATCTTAAGCTGTCTACCCGGGATAAAATAAATTGGCTAAGAGACTGATCCTCATTTCCTATTCAAGATTTTATAAAATGAGACATAAAAAATTCCGAGAGCCAACTGAAACATCAAAATGCATAAGTTTAAAGGACTGCGACGCAGCGGAGTGGTTACGTGGCGGATAGACGATTTATCATCTGGGTGGATATATCCTGTAACATGAATCTACTTACTTGATACATTGTCTGATGTCTCCCTACTGTCATACGTAACATACGAAGGCAATAGCGGTAAGCACCGAGGATTGATTAAACCTTAATCAAGCAGGACGGTGAGACGCTGCTAATGTAGATAATAAAATCCTCTCTGTACTACAATACTAACTTCCTCGGGGAAATCAGGTTCCCTCCGTCTAACCTCTGCATTAAAGCAGTCAGTGAGGTATACCTACTTTACAGTAGATATAAGAAGAAAAAATAAATTATATCTAAGTATATACTGATTATTATTCGTTGAAAATTCTATTTCAATGAGTAGTTAGTTATCTTTCCTTAACCAAGGTATGAGTTGCTTAATAGGAACGCACCTACACAATTTAATTACCAGATAATTGATTTTTATTGATTAAAAGCGCCCAACGAAAGCCAAAGGCGAATCACGAACATAAAAAAAAACTTAACAAAAGCGTTTAATTTCACGTTAAACGTCATTCAATATAAAATAAATGCAGAACGAGTATTGTACCGACAAATTCCCGTAGAATAACATTATAGCACTTAGAACTTTATGTCGACTGCGTAGTGAATTGAATAGCATGTCAAGCTCTCTCGAGATAGTTCCGATGTTTACGTTTAATCAGCTCGTGGCTAGAATGTTTGATTTATACAAACTTGGTCCACTACTGTTCGATTCTGAATGACAGTTCACTATTTCTATATTTATTCAAACAATACCTTTCAACTCGTGGCATCTCTGTTTGAAGAAGTTTTCTTGGTTTTTTTATGTTTTTTTTGATAAAATTAAGAAGGATAGAATCAAAAATATACCTACTCATCGGCGTAGGTACGTCGCTGCGTAGGTGTCAATCCGGTACCCACGTAATATAATATAGAGAGTGGCAATTTCCAATTGAAATTCGCAGCAAAATTTCTGTATGTAAAACAAAATCGAATATTAGGTATGCTCAACTGTAGACATTTGGGTACAAAGCAGGTAGGTTCAAAATTAAACTAAGAATAAATTGAATACCTACATGACCTTACGATGTGTAAATGATGGTTAAACTAATTGAAATGGTAATGTCAGTCCACTTTCTAGCTTGCTAGAATACTGTTCTGAGCACACATAATAATATGAAGTAGGTAGGTACGTAACTGTGAAAAAACGGTGGTCGAGCAATCAGCTGGCAGTGGTTGTCACGTGCCACAGAAACATTTTCTAGGCTATTACTGTAGAAGAGAATGAAAAAACAAATGAAGAAAACATAAGTACAGAGATACAACATAAATTAAAAACAATGACTAAAGGGATTACAAGAGGAAACCTCAACCAGTTTGACGACACAACGATAATTTTATCACTGTTATATTTTGATGATTATTATCTACAATAGTTTTATTCAAAAGAAGCTTACGCAGAACGGCTCAATTCTTCAGGTATATTCACTAGCTTAGTTGTCGCCTTATCCCCTAAAAATCCTGATTTAAAAATAAAAAATATTTAATTACGAAGTCGTTTTAATTTATGTCGGCATGCCGAAGCAAAATTTGACGATCGTGTAGCCTCAACACTAACGCTTGCCCAAGTAATTGGAAGGCGGAGGTCTAACATAGACCTATTACCATCTGCAATCACTTTAGCCGCATCTAGATTGGATGGAAACCAACGACGGCAGAGTTGGGTTAGAGCACCTACCTAATATTATTATTAGGAAGATACCTATCTATCAATTAATTATGTACCTATTTATTTTTTAAGTAGACTTTGCCCAAATATCGTACTTTTTGTAAAATATCATATAGGTATACCCCTAAACAACAATTTGTGAATCAAAGAATTGTTCTGTTGGGGAATCGAATTCACGGCACGATCAAGTCACACGGCAGCCGAGAGGGCAAAACATTTCCATACTTCGAAACGAGTGGGCAGGCTCTACCTGAGAACCACGGCCTCAAAAGAAACCGGCAACGGTTTTAAACAACTACAACGTTGTGTTTCGCCATGTGAGTTAGGTTACCGAAGGCGTAAGATTATGCCTCAAGTAAGATTATGGTCGAGTCGAACCATTTGTGCAAGCTTATTTTAATCCTATCTTATCAGCCCGAGACGGATATGATTTTTTGGGAACCTGATATAGCAAAGCTTTTTTGTAAATGGAAAGATTTCTCCTTTTGCCCTTATTGTGAATGGTACTTTGCATTACTCTTGTCATTGCAATATAATTTTTAAATGAAATTCTTCAAATTTTATTGGCCTGCTCAATCTTTTAGATAAGCTAGCGACATCTCTGTTTAGATTCGTAAACTAAAGAGAAAAATAATGGAATAAACTTGGTATCAAGTTGGCTCTTGCATTATCGACAATAGAATTATTGTTAATTATTTTAAAATGGTTATAAGTTAACTTTAAATGACTTTATTGTGATTCCAGTACATACGTTCCTTGTAGAGCTACCAAGTTTAAAATAATAAAACTATTTATTTTCACCACTTGAATGTTTAAAATGTAGAAATTATAATAGATAAAGTGCCTTCTTCGAATATATACCGATCAGAAGAGAATATTTTGCTAATCGTGTGATTTTCTGTTCAATTTCAATCCTATGCAATCACAAAAGTTTTGAATTTAGTTTCAATTGTCAAGTTGACAATTTATTACGTCAATGTCATTCTTATCGAAGCCCCGATTGGTGGCCATTCATATCAAAAGTAAGAACACCGGGTCTTCAAATACAAAGTGAAATAAATAATTTTAATTTAAAACATATTATAAAAATATACCTTAAAAACAATAAATAAAGACGGCATCTAAATTTACATATTCTTTTGTACATGTTGAAAACATTGTACTAATTAAAAAATTACTTCTAAAATGATTGATTCAAAAGTTTTAGGTAAGTTTTACTTGTTTTCTAAGATAGTGTTATCTCTCGGTTGTTGATTATTAGCGTGATGTAAGAATAATTTAGATAGTAAACTTTAAAGTGTGGGTTGAGAACAGAAACCCGATTAAATTATCCACAAAGAAAATGACATAAGTTTGAACTTTTCTGAGGACTCTTTTAATACACTTTCATTTATTTGTGAATTGTCATGAACTCTACAAAAAGTCTACTGCTTTACATTATACGGTATGTTCAATCAATTTTGGAGTTAAACGACAGGGATATAAAATGAGTTTTGAATACTTTATAATGTTTATAATAACAAATAGATATTTTGTGTTTAGAAATGGCTGATTTAAAGAAGATTTATATAAACAAATCAAATGTGGATTCACAAATTCAGACAATATTGGATACACACCCAGTATCCACTCCAGATGTCTTAAATGCATGGTTACTGAAAGCCATCACAGTCATTGACTTAACAACCTTATCTGGTGATGATACAAGATCAAATGTATTCAGACTTTGTACTAAGGTAAGCATAAAAACAAAAAAATACATTTTTAAATTCTACCTCTATTGGCAAGAAAATAAAATTAATAATGCAGTTTTACTTTTATAATTTATAACAATGTATTCCAAATTTGAAATACATGTTTTTTTCTTCTTACATTCTAGGCGGCAAATCCTTTACCAACAGACTTGATAAAAAAGTTGGACTTAAAAGAACCTATCAGAACTGCAGCTGTATGTGTTTACCCAACAAAAGTAAAAGATGCATATGAAGCTATCAAACTTATGGAACTTACATCTGAAATCAATATTGCAGCTGGTAAGCACTTTTGTCATGCTGGTTGCACATTAAGTAGCTAGGTACACCTATAACCCACTATTTTCATATTTTTATTCCACCTTAATGTTTGCAGTGGCCACTGGTTTTCCATCAGGTCTCTACCCATTAGAGACAAGACTACAAGAAATAAAGTATGCTGTTTCAAATGGAGCAACCGAAATTGATGTGGTCTTAGACCGTAGCTTGGTCCTAACAGGGCAATGGGATGCATTGTTTGATGAAGTCAAACAGATGAAGAAAGCATGTGGTGAAGCCCACTTGAAAGTCATCCTTGGAGTTGGTGAATTGGGAAGTTATGAAAATGTTAGTTTCATTTCATCTGTACTCTATTTCAATTACTTTAATCCATTTTCAACCTTATTATGTTGCTATAGCGATGAAAAACTTTAAATTATTGGGCAAAGTTTGCCATATGACAAATAACCAATAAGCTAGGAGATTGAAGTTCAAAAAGTTGGTTTTTTGAGTGGAAGCCTCCTTCATACTTCATATTTCATATTTATTTACTTGCATACCATAATCATACAAAGATTTAAGTACTTAAAGCTATATATACATATTAACTGACCCTGACAGGGCACAGCAAAAAAAAAATGCCATAAATAAGTTTAATTATAATTCGGTATTTTATATTAATCAGACTATCTTTTTATCATTGTTAGATTTTTGAATATTTTTGTTGTATTTTACAGGTTTATAGAGCTTCCATGATATCTATGATGGCGGGAGCAGACTTCATAAAGACCTCTACAGGTAAAGAGGCTGTGAATGCGACTTTACCCATTGGTCTTGTCATGTGCAGAGCTATAAGAAGACACTATCAATCAACTGGAATCAGGGTAAGCAGACAATAATTGTTGTTGTATATACAAAAAATAGAGCAATATTTAATATTTAATAGTATTTCTTATTTTTGATTGATTATAAATTTTCTCTATCACAAAATTGAGCCTTATTGTGATATATGATATTTAAAAATTCTGCAATTCTAAATATATCATAATACTTATTCTATTTTCTTCATAGAATATAGTCTACTATCGTCTTCTTTTCGTAATAAGAGAAACGAAAAGTATATAGTAAAAACTAAAGTCTGTGCTTTATTCTACTTCAGTCATGATGACTGTATGTATAAAGTGTCCATAAAACCTTTGAAATAAAAGTTGCACTAGTTCCCAAGGCATAATAAATCTGACTATATATGTACGATTGATAAAGAAAAATCATCGAATGGACTCACCCCCGCCCTGGGTTGAGTGAGAAGAAGTATCAGGCTCTAAGGGTGCAGTTCCATTGAGGTGGAGCGGAGAAGAGCTGTGCCGCGATTCACCATTCACATGGCTTAAAATCCACATGTCTCTTCTCCGATGTGGATTTCAAGCCATGTGATTAGGTAATCGCGGCACAGGTCTTCTCCGCTCCGCCTCAATTGAACTGCACCCTTATTGACTAGAAACCACCCCTTCCTCCTCCATCTCCAAACCAGGTCCATGAAACATCTTTGTGCTGACATTAGAACACATAAAGTGCTAAAACAAAATGTATCACATATAAATAAATGTTATGTGTTTATTAAACAGGTGGGCCTCAAACCAGCTGGGGGCATAAAGACAGCTAGAGATGCAGTCAACTGGCTAGTCCTTGTGTACACGGAATTAGGTCCAGAATGGCTCACGCCAAAACTGTTCCGCATTGGTGCATCAAGTTTGCTTGCTGAACTTGTAAACAATATCGTGTGTAAGTAAGAGGATAGTCAATAAGTGTTGTTAAATTTTTTCCGAAAACTTAGACATATTTTTGTAAAAATATTTCTTTATTGGTGCCATATTTATTTGACCTAAATGTTATTTGTAAAGACGAATTGAATTCTATTTTTATACTCTTAATTTTTATATAACATCTACATATTTATAAGCATTGTTCATATGTTACCCAAATGGAAATGTTATTAATAAAAACATCAGAAAAATATTTGTGCATTTTTTATTTCATTTCGTTAATCATATAAATTAATACACCTTATCCACTATATGACACTTATGGTAACAAACTTAGATTTAAAATTATTAATAAAAACAAAAATAACTTAATATACATTTTCGTATAAAGTATTTTGTTTAAGGTTGGAATATGTTTAACAAGGCGTTATTTACAAAAAAAATATTTACAACATTTGAACTTCAGAGGTCATAAAGATTAGACAAATTTATCAATGCTGAGGAACCCGATATAGATAGTAGTAGTACGCCCGATATATCTTGGCCTTTGAAACTCATAATTTGAAGCAGCCAGCGGGATACAAGTATAATGGTTTGGTACGAGGAAAAGAAGTAATACTACCATAGATACGATACAATACAAACACCAGTAAGTCAAGTTATGAGATTTTAAACCTTCTTGTTTCGTTATTAAGTTGAAATTGTCATCTATTTTAGCAGACTGGAATAATAAGCCAGCATCGAAATATTGAAAGACATGACGGGCAGTTTAGTGTTGTAGTTAGTCATCAAAAATGGCCAAATTATATGACCCCTACACTACAACCATGTGTTTTGCTAAATGTTCTACATTCATGGCTGTTTTTCTACTGGTTCTTCCGCACGGAAACCGTACTCGGGATGCGCGCTATAGTTGACCACTCGGAGTTTACCGGACCTGTCCACGTATCCGTAGTGGCCTTTTACCAGACCATCGTTGTCCCGCTCCTCATACCGAAATTGACGGTTTTTGCTGAAAAAACATTATGTTCTCAGTAATTTTTTTTCATAGATTAACTTAATAAATATTATAAAGCTATTAGGTATATAGGGTAAGAATATTGCTCTTACTTAAAAATAAACACAATATGGGTACTAAATATTTGAAATTACTTTTAGATTCCAGATTAATTTAATTAATTATTATCTACCCGGAAATCGAACCCGGGTGGCCGAGTCCTCGCGAAAATCGACCAACGAGGCTTTGTGAGTTAAAGTTATATTAAAATCATTCCATAAATATATCTATCAAGTTGTTGCCTTATGTATACAGATTATCCACGTCGACGACAACGTACGAAATTGCTCGACTCATTTCGAGCGTCTATGGGACTCATGACCATGAGTGAGTATTCACGGCAACCAATACGGCATGAATGGTGTAGTAAATCGTGCACGAGTAAGTCGATATATCTACATACTAGGTATACTTAGTATAATACGTTTAAGTACTTATATCAAACTTACCCTTTGCCAGTATCGTAGCCGAATTGATAGCTATGTGGTCCCTTCATGCCGTGCATCCTGAACTCTGTTCTGCCATCGGGAGCTGGTGCAGCTGGTCCTACATCTTGAGGGGGACTTGGTGGCGGGGCCTGGCGCAGGGGAGCGGGTCGGGGCCCGTGACGGAGAGGACCTGGTGGTCCATGATGTGCAGGTACGTGGTAGATGTTATCTGAAATTAAAGTGGCATTTTATTACATCATCGTCATATTTATACTTATGACTGCACGGTTGGTACGGTGGCTAAGCAACTGGCTGCTGCGCAGCGTGTTGCGGGTGCGATTCCCGCACGGAACAACTCTGTGTGTGATCCACAAAGATTGTTGTTCCGGGTCTGGGTAGCTTGTGTATGTGACATTGTATGTTTGTAAACGCACCCACGACACAGGAGAAAATCCTAGTGTGGGGAAACGTTTAAAAAAATAACACAAACGTCTTCTTTTCAAGAAGCGGTCTCCGTTGACTTGCGCTTGGCCCTTTGGTCTTACAGAGATTGGTCCTAATTTAAAAACACACCGATTAGACTCAATATTTATATTCATAAATGCAATATCGAATACCTACATCACATAGGTATATACCCCGAATCTAAATACATAATTCCGTGCGCAAATCAAACTGATTTTTTTTGTAAAATTAAATTTTGTCTGAGTCTAGGTATTCAGTGAAAATTTCAAAATAAATTAATGTCTAATAGTATATACTTAAGTTGTTACTAAAACTAACAAAAGTAACTTGTATAGTAGTAAGTAGGTACCTATTGTGCACATATCTAATAATAATCTCATTGAGTCATAAATGTTTGAAGGGTCAAGAACAAGAACAATCTATTCAGTAAGTTTAGTCAAACAAGTTTTTGATTTATACATCTCAACCCACTTCAAACAATGATTGTTATGTTATTATTAAGTTATATTATACGTACGTCCGGGGTATCTCAAGTTAGTTTCCGAAGTTTCTTGTTCCGCCGACGTAGGCTCGCCATATGTTTCCTCTGACACCCCATCAGCTGATTGCTGTTCCTGGGAACAAAACCAGTTTCACGACTTAAGTAAATTCATATTCCATAATTGTTATTGCTTTGTAAAATCGTACACAACTGACCTTTAAGGCTTCCTCTCCTTTCAATTTTCTTTGATGCTCGGCCTTTTTGAAATGATACAATTTCTTCTCGTCGTCGGTCGGCGTGTATTGTTGTACCTCCGCACTCGATTGCGGTTTAAAGTATTTCGCAGGCTTCGCTTTGGGTACTTCTGGTGCGGTTTCGGCGTACTGAGTGAGAGGTATCGGGACGGGTTTGAAACCGCCAGTGTATTTCTTCGGGAACAATTTCGTTGGAGCGTTCAATGATTGTGGTTTAGGCGGCGTTAAATGTAAAGCGAGCGTTGGTGCAGCTGGGTCTAGTTGCAGATTTGGAGCTGGTCCGTTCTCGTTTTGAGGGCGCACATTATAGTCTGGTACTTGAATAGGTTCATTATTTTCATCCACATGCACCTCTTCCTCCTCAGGAACTTCAATGAAGAACTCGTTTACAGCGTCTACTGAAGGCGGTTCAAGCCGAGTTGAAGGTACGGGAGGGAGGGATAAAGGCGCCGCTACACCTTGGTTACCGTTGAAAAATATGGGAATCGTTTCTAGGGGTAGTCTTGGGTATGGAACATTGCGTTTAGTTTGTGTTTGGGCTTGTAGAATGGGTAGCCAATCACTCTGAATGTCAGCTGATGCTTTGGGCAGAAAGTAGCCGGGATGACTGTCTTTTGAAGGCGGTATCAGGAAGGTAGGCGGGCCGCCTGTTCCTTCGGGTGAATCTTCTGCTTTGTGTGGATCAGGGGGGATGAGGTAACTGTCGACATTAGCGTCGTCTGATATGTAATAAACAGGAGTATTTTTTGTCGCTTCTGGAGTACTGGGGGCGTCGGTGGGGTCTGCATTGTCTACTGGGACTTTGATTGATGATACTGATAATACTAACGGCAAAACCTGAAACAATAATACATAGGACCATAGGTAAACGTTACTATGTAGATTGATAAATTAGATATCCAAATAGGATCTTAAGATATCTATTTTGAAACCAATTGGATGGGCATTAAACACAGGGTTAATATATCTAACCAACATTGGCAAAATTCATTTACAGGTGTAAAATAAATATAAACGTAATATAATAAAAAATGTATACATGTTATAAGTAGGTATCAACTAATCTGGTCACTCCATCAATTTTCAATAAGTACATAGGTTACCTAATTGCCTATGCCTATAGGTACCTACGTGATTTAGCTAAACAACAAGATCAATACAGAATTAAGTTCTATCAGCCATTCAGCAATAACACGGGGCGTATCTAATTAGTGTATGTATTCAGTTATCACTCACGACACCCACGGGAACAATTGATTGACCTACTCCTAGCATATGGCTGACGGAAATTGTTTCAATCTATTACATAAGTTACCTAGTAACAATTAATTACAGATGAAAATAAATACCTGAATCGGTTTTATTTACTTCTCCATTTTTAAATTAATCAGACCGTTTATTGCTAAATAGATTGGAAGGGTTACGAGAGCAATCGTTGCACTTCATCTCAAAGAAAGAGGTGACTTAAAAAGAACCTTTTTTCTATTAGAACTTGTTACGTAAAGTTCAATTACAAGCAACCGTGTCACAATAGGAAAAAAATGTGTGAGCAATGACAAATCGAAAGGTCTGCGAAGACTGTAGTGGTACGTTTGGAATTATAAAATTGCCGAATACTATAAAGCGTTTTAAGGCCTAACCTTAGATACTACCAACTAATCTAACCTAATCGTCAAGCTTGGCCTATTTATAAGGCCCCTTAATATTAGGCTTTGATACCCACATAACCACGATGTCATAATAATCTTAATTTTTATTTGATTTTAAACCTTAATTTCTCGATATGGTTTACAGTAATTTATAAATAAAATGTGTTATTATTAAATTTAACATCCCCAATCAAATTTAAATAGCCTTTGAAGTGATTCATTTCAATTTATCAACCAATTATAATACATCCTTCATAGTTTGGCTTCTCCTGAACTTTCTACTTACAAAGGAATATTTGTGGTTATACAAACTTCAATTTCGTATGTTGGTATTTACCCGCGTAATATCGAGAGTCTTGGTACCGGTTCATTTTATTATATTATTATTACTTATTTCCCTAATTTAACTACGTCGTTTACTTTGACATAGGTACAATGGCGCTCTATTCCCACAGCCGGGGTTGCGGGGCTAGCGCAATAAGGTACCGCGGCCTCGGCCTAGATCAAGAGCAGGAACAGAGGGGTTTTTAATCAGTATGAGTCTGAGACTCCCTCATAATGGCCGCCCAGGGTTGGGTGGGAGAAGCCATTTGACGACTTACCCCTCACAAAAAAATAAAGTAATAGAGTCTTGTCCCGCAATTCCGGCTGAACATCGGTCCTACAGGGCCCCGTCTGTGGTGTCTATTGGCTCTTTGAGGCGCGCGCGGAACGCTACGCGCCGTACGTTCTACTACTGCACTTCTGCTACACTTTGAAGGCATAAAAGAAAAAAAAACACTTATCTATAATGCTTTGTCGTTTTGATTTAAATTCGAAATGAAATGAGGTTAGGTTCGTTTTGAATAGATCTATTTCACTCGGGTACCTGTTCAATTTACTTGTCGATTGTTACGTCATAGTAGGCGCATACCACTAAGCATTTTGAGACAGGCGTGAATAACATAATTGGCGTCACCGGACACGATACTTATTAGACCATGAATATTACTGAACTTTTTCAATTCATGTTTATTTTTTCAATTCACTGTGTCAACGTACTCGGTAGCAATGCTGGCCGGAAATAAATTAACCGGTCGCATTGATATGACCTAGAAATAGTTTACAAGTTTCGATTTCTTTACTTTTTACGTGTAAATTTAGCAGCATAGGTGTTAGCTGGTCTACTGGTTGAGGGGTACCTAACGTGTTTTTTTTTTTTTTTTTTGAGGGGGAAAAGACAATAATTAGCGTTTCTCGCCCAGACTTTTATTGACTTAACGTGTTGCGGGTTCGATTTATGCACGGGCAGCTTTTTTTAACCGACTTCAAAAAAGGAGGAGGTTCTCAATTCGATTGTATGTTTTGTAATCCACAGATAGTTGTTTTGGGGCTGTTTTAACCGTGATGTGTAGAAGAACTCGATTAAAAAAGTAAATATCTTTCTGCACATTCCAGTATATTATGTATTTTGTGTCAAATCAATATTTAACTAGAGTCTTAGTACCTAAGTAGTACCTACTTATTAGGGACTAGTCTAGTAGTTTATCTCCTAAGATTTCTCTAATCTGAACATACAAAATACAAACTCTGCAGTTAAGTATACCAAGAGCTTTGGCCTATAGAATCCGGAACATTATTTCATCCTGCTATTCAAACCTTCCTAAACAGTACTTCCAGACTCCAATGCAGTCAATCTAGATTCTTTTATTCTAGATGGTCATAATACAATTTCTCCTAAGTATAAAACCGGCTTCGCTACTAATTACGCAATTAGCTAAGCCTAACACACGGGATACTTCGACAAGTCCACTTACCATTTCCTTATTGACAATACAGGTACATACGTACCGGCAAATAAAGGTACACTAAAGTATTAAAATTATTTGATAAATTTTCAACTTTACGTGCAATGCAAATAAGGTTGGAAATCTATTGTTTACATTGTGTTAGCTTGATATGCAGGCTGTGGTAAATACGTACGTAAGAAATAAAAAACCAATAAGTTTCCCGTAAAACAGTGTCACCAGGAAACGAAACTTGTGTGTGACGTAACATGAAAACAGGAACTGGCACAAAGTTATCATCTTAAACACATAAAAAAGTATAACTTGTGCAATATCAACGTTCTGCACTTATTTGTGCACAATAAAAAGTCTTATAGCGGTCGTGAAATTAATGAACCGTGTACGGGAACTAATTTTTACTTTCGACGGCGGTCACTAAGAAAGTAAATGTTTTAGTTATTGTGCGTAGATTGAATTTAAATAACAACATTAAACATCTATGTAAATATACTTATGTAAGGTTTAAATTATGGAGGCCTATATTTTTCTCGCACTATAAATAAGTACTTACCTACTTAATTGCATATAGCTAGCTACCTAAGCAGGTAGGTACCTTGTATTAGTAGTGATTCAATTATATAAATTTTTGTGTTTTTTTTTTCATTTTTCACGTTATTGCCAATTCTTTTCTTTGAACTCCCAAGTCCAAAGTCAAAAATCTTAGTCGCGTCCTAAATAATGTTGAGTTCTTTCAGTTTTATCAATCAAGCAAATTGAAATAAAAATCTGTGACAAACAATACATAATTTTGTCGAAAATTTTATTATTAATCGACAAATTAACTAGGTATAAAGCCATCCAACATCAACATAATGAATTTGTTGGACACGGCCACGACATTGTTTTAAGGTTACGATTCAAGTATCTATGGTATTATTTTATAATAAGTATTGACCATTTTAATGAAAAAGTCACTAATGCTAAAATGTGGTGCTGCACCCAAAATTGTGGAGATTTTGGGTAGGTATTATAATTAGGTGTGTAGAGCTAATGAAGGAAAAAAACGGTATCGTCAGTCCAGCTAGCGCCCTACGTTTGCGTAGACGGCGTAACGTTTTTGATACGATATATGATGATGTTATTAATGTTTGTAATATACGGATAATTATTAAGATATCAATGGCAATAATAATTAACGTAAGTAATCACCAGACCTGCCAGTAAATATGCAATGTAACTAAATACATATATTAATTATAGATACTTATAAGTATGAAGGTTATACAGCTGCAGGTACCTGCAGCTTCCTCATTATCATTATTTATAACAAAAAATACAACTAAGTATACTTGGCTACTCGGAAACAAATTGTCTTTACGATTTGATTGTTTTTTGTTTTTGTTTGTTTTCATTGAATAAACTCTTGAAATACTGGACCGATATAAAAATATTTTTAAATATTGGTAAGTTTTCCATCCAGCGGCAACGAAAACTTCCAAGCCGCCAAACATAGAAGTTCATGGCGTCGCATCGCAAGCAAGACTCGAGCGACACATGACCACGACCACTCTGTCAAGAGTGCACGACTAAGAAGAAGAGAAGTTTTCTTTTCAGAAAGTATTATAGGTTACGTTTTATCCTAATAGCTTTTTTTTAAAAAAAAAAAAACGTTGCCCCACACTAGGATTTTACAAACATACAAATTCACATACACATCACACCCAGACCCGGATCAACAATTTGTGGATCACACAAAGAGTTGTTCCGTGCGGGAATCGAACCCGTGACACGTTGCACGGCAGCCAGTTGTCCAGCCACCACGCCAACCGTGCAGTCAAAAGTCTATCTACCACCATAGAATCGGGACCTCCATCTGCACGAAACGGTATTTCCTAATTTGCAAACAGTTTAGTTTTATTTATACCTACATATTATTACTTAAACCAAAAGCTATTAAGCACACAAATACATCAAGAACAACATAGATATTTAGTTCAGCCATTGATAATGTTGAAAAGTTATTAAAAGGAAAGTTTGTTCAATATTAACACTAATGTCGATTGTTAATTCGTGTTTAGCGTGCGTAAAATTCAGCGTTTATTTTTAGAATTAGGTACGTCCTGGGCACTATACCTAATGAACTGGTCGTGTGTTGTGGTTAACCAGAGGCTTTTATCAAACTTTGTACAGATTGATAGAAGATCTGAATGAGTGCGTTATGAACCATACTGACAATTGGGTAGTTTCCTAGGTCAAGAATAAATTAATTCGACGTTTCAATACAAAAAAATAGAATAAAATTTCGAAAAATAAACTATACTTTTATTCATCGATCGATCGATACACTAAATTTTAGATATTTATTAACTAATTATTAAGAAATAAGTAAGCTAATTCACGCAAAAAGTTTTCATACACATTT